ACACACACACACACACACACACACACACACACACTTTTAAGAAAGTCTTCCTGGTAGTTCTAATGCTGTTTAAAATTTGAGAACTGAAATTCCAGTCCCTACTTTCTAGGTACAAATCAAGACCTCAGTGTGCAGCTGCAGCTATTCCCTGAGCATCTGAAATCTGCGAATGGAAAGAAGGAACTGGAGAATTCCAGCCTTGGAAATAATCATCACCTGCCCACCAGCAGCCTGTACTTTGATCAAAGAATTCTGATGTTCACAGTAACATTTGCTAGTGTGAATGTATCCAGTTCTAGGACCATGGATAGATTTCAATAAAGGGCCATCCTCCAGTCTTGGAAAATATGTCATGGTCATTTTTTTCTTGGCAAAGCTTAAAACTGGGCCAGTCCTAGATAAAGCAAAACATTCTCTATGCCAAGGAATTTCACAGGGACCTCGAGATATAAACCTCATGGAAATCATACAATTCGCTCAAACAAATCTTCTGATTGTTGGCATCTTTCTTGTTTGGTCATTGACAGGAGGAAGTGATTGGAGACTTGAAACCAGGCACTGAATATCGCGTGAGCATAGCAGCTTACAGCCAGGCTGGCAAAGGGCGGCTGAGCTCTCCTCGGCATGTCACCACTTTGTCCCAAGGTAAAGTAGGTTCAAATTCATTAATAGGTGGCAGGCTGTTCATGCATCCTTCATTCAGCAAATATCAATAGGGACCTCCTGTGTGCCAAGCACTGTGCTAGGCTCTGGGAATTCAGTAGAGAACAAAAGTAAGCACAGCCCCTGCCCTCTCAGAACTTAGTGGGGTAAGTCAAAACATTCCCTCATTAGTGTGTAGTCACAGAGTATGATAGGTGCTTCAGCACTGTAGGAACATACAACACAGGGATAATGGAAGAATTCCCTGAAGAGATGACAACTAGTGGAGATCCGACAGGTAAGTAGGAATTAAGGTGAAGAAGGGGAGTGGGAGAAGAGATTTATAGGCAAAGGGAATGCAACTAATGTTTTTAGAGGTGGCACCAAGCTGGACGGTAGGGTACAAAGTTGGGTTGATGGTGGTCACTGCTGGCAAGGAGCTTTTTGTGGAAGGAGAAGCCAATGACAAATGAGTGACAGCAGCACTT